CGGGTAGGACGCACTCATTAAAGACTTTCGTCTTAAGGCACTGTGGGATCGACGATGAGAAGACTCGACGTAGCTTCCCAAACGCTGCCCAACTCAACCGAATTCTTTTGTTCACGTCGTCCTCGAAGTTGTTTCTACCTAACTGTAATGTTTGCCCGAGGTACACATAATTTTGAACAACTTCGAGAACGGCACCGTCTACCGCAATCGGTTCTGGTAGTACATGTTCATTGAATATGACCTTGGTTTTATCCAAGTTCATCCGTAGGCCGATGCGTACAGAAGTGTCAGCTAGGTCATTCAGCATTTGCTGTAGGTCCTGCAACGTCTCTGCCATGATGACGATGTCGTCTGCAAATCGCAAGTGAGAGATGTATTCGCCATTGATATTGATGCCACGCCCTTTCCAGTGCAGAGTCTTGAACATGTCCTCCATTGCATTTGTGAACAATTTCGGGGAAATAACGTCCCCTTGTCTCACTCCTCGATGCAATGGTACGGGCCTTGTTTGCTGATTCTGAACTTGGACGGACATGGTGGCGGCTTTGTAGAGACATCTCATCACTTGGATGTATCGCCAATCTACTTGGCAACGTTGCAGGGACTCCAGAACAGACCAGATCTCGATCGAGTCAAAGGCTTCCTCATAGTCCACGAATGCATCCATTCACAGGGGCTGATTATATTCTTCGGTCTTCTGTATAATCTGCCGCACTGTGTGGATGTGGTCTATGGTGCCATATCCGCTCCGAAACCCAGTTTGCTCCTGTTGTCAGAATTCGTCGAGACTTTGCGCAAGACGGTTCGTGATGACTCTCGAAAACAGCTTGTAGATGTGGCTTAGAAGGGATATGGGTCGATAGTTCTTCAACCTGGTCTTGTCACCATTTTTGAAGAACAAGAACACTCCTACTCCACGCTTTCGGAGTTCTCCCTTCAAACAGGACAGCGTTGAAGAGCTTTTGGAGCTCCCTTAGTACAGGTTTACCCCCGGCCTTTACCAGCTCTGTTGTAACGCCATCCTCTCCAGGGGCTTTTCCATTTTTCAGCTGTCCAAGAGCCATCTCGATTTCGTCAATGCTAACTTCTGGCAAGTCTTCGGTGTAGTGACGTGTTAATGTGGCTCTAGAGTCCTCATTTTCGGGATCAGGTCGAGATGCATGGGAAGCGTATAACCGGCCATAGAAGCTTTCCACTTCCAAAAGGACTGCCTACTTCGAAGCAACGACTTCTCCACTTTCTGTGGTCAACTTTGTCAGGTGGCTTCTTCCAAAAGATTGTACGAACACTTTTGACCCCCGATTTTGCTCGATCGCTCTTTCAATTGAAAGAGTACTGGAGCACCGGAGGTCGTGTCGTACGAGTTTACTGATCTCTCGGTTTAGAGTCCGCTTTGCCGACAAGTGACAGGTGGGTTTTCACGTCCTTTCTTCATCAGCCCTAGGGTCCTTTCTGAAAGTTTCGACTTCCTGCCCTTACGCTGCATTTCACAAAATCTCGTACCTTCTTCCCTGAGGATCCGAACCACATTTTCGAAGTTCTGGTTTACGTCGATTGTTGTTTCCACCCCAGCGAATCGGTTTTCCAGTTTTGACTGGAACGTTTCAGATCCTGTCATGGCTTGGAGCAGAGTCGGTCGGAGCCTGGATTTCATCAAACAGACACGTTCCGCCTTAAAGTTGATATTCAGAGAGCCCCGGACAAGTCGGTGATCACTACCGGTATTAAACCTATTGATCACTGAGACGTCTCTGAATATGTGCTTTCTATCCGTCATGATGAAATCGATCTCATTTCTGGTCATAGCGTCGGGGCTTTGCCACGTCCACTTCCTTTGGGGCTGTTTCTTGAAGAAAGAGTTCATCAAAAAGAGCCCCTCCCGTTCGAGGAAGTTGACCAGCATTTGCCCCCTTTGATTCCTGATTCCAAATCCATGGGATCCTACTACCGATTCGCCGCAATTTTGTACTACCACTTTAGCGTTGAAGTCACCCATAACAACGTTGTAGTGGGTCTTAGTTGTGAAGTGGAGGGCCCTCGATATGTCATCGTACATATCCTCCACCTCGTCGTCCGAGTGTGCCGAGGTACACTTGCACAACCTTGAGGCTATACCTCTCGGTGAGCTTGATAATGAGGTACGCTACCCTGTTGGACACACTGGAAATTTCCACAACGTTGTCAGATAGGGACTTATTTACCAGAAACCAAACGCCACCTTGGGATTGTTGGTCTCCCTCGCGGAAGTACATTAGGTGGCCTGACTCGAGGGTGATGGTGTCCTCCCCCTCTCTTCGGACTTCACATACTAGGATATGCCACCTAATCTTCCCAAGTTCCACATCAAGTTGTGCCAGATGCGAGTCTAGCCGTAGCGTGCGTCCGTTGTACGTAGCCAGGGTCAGTCGGTTGTGGTGGCCTCCCGTAGCCCGGAGATTCTTCGCACCCCCTGCCCCGCCTTTACCGTGGTCGCCACCATGATCAGGAATAGAGGGGCCGCCAGGAACTGGGGGCCGTGGCCTTTGTTGCGTCTGCATGGGGAGGGTTTGCCCATAATCGCCACGCTGGGCAGGCGGGTTGGCGATCGCAGGGCGTAGCTTGTCGCACCGGTAACGCTGCAGCCCGTCACCGGCCTGTTGTATTTAGCTACGCCTATTGGGATGGATATACCGCCATCGGTCGGTCGCCAGAGCCTCGTTCGTCATTCAGCAGAATGCACCGCGGGCAGGTGAGGTTGGCCTGGGGCGAAAGATGGTGGTTCGCCCCTCACACCAAAGACCAAAAGAAGTACTCCTTTGTAACAAATACTATGGGCAAAGGTCCAGTAAATATTTAGTGCCAGTAGTTTTTAACAGCCTCCGAGTAGAGATTTCTAACATTTGTAAGAGAAATCTTCAAATCAAGGTTGGTAAAGTAACTTCTTGAGAATCTACATAGTAATATTAATGTGTAAAAGGAACTAAGGTACAATGTATATTAAAATAGTTTTTATGTTGTTTCATATAGTACTCAAAGCAAAGATGTTATATCTATGTATTAAATTAAAATTAATTAAAGAAGGAGCTACGTGTGCCAACAAACTGCCCTGCAATTTGGCAGAAGTAAAAAGTATGTATAATGGTTGTAATAATTTAATAATAAACATTTTTTTCTTTCTTTCTTTCTTTCTTAAAACACTGTAAATCACGAAAAAAAAACTGCATAAGACTCACAAAAATTTTAATTTTACCCATAACTTATCATATTAATGCTTAAAACATTTTTTCCAGCATTTGTTGATAGGAAACGATCGCGCTTTTCTTCATAAATTATACCTGCTTCGGAAAATAGCCGCTCACTGAATGCACTGCTGCCGCGAGATGATACCTAAATAAATCTTACCAATTCTGTCAGATTAGGATGTCTTTTGCGTTCGCTGAAAGGTACTAAATGTTACCGAATATTCGGCGCTCCAAACAAGACACTCGCCGAATATTCAATATTCGGTATTCGGCCAAATCACTATTCGTGGCATCTCTAGTAAATATATAACCTATTAAATAATATTAAATGCCTGTGGCCTATCTATTACTGTCTGTTTCCAATACCTTCAGTGTTATAAGAAGAAAGGGCAAAGAAACTCACGGCCACTCTTTTTAAAAAAACAGATTAAGAATAATAGAATAGGTATAACCGTATTCATACAATAAAAAATACTTCAATCGGTAATAGTACTCATCCGCCATACTCACCAGACCTTGCACCTACCGACTATTACTTTTTCCAAAATTTAGACAACTGTTTAGTGGGTAAAAAATTCAATTCCCGAGAGGCAGTACAAAATGCCTTTGAAGAGTTTGTTGCCTCCCGTCCAGCTGATTTTTACAAGAAGGGCATCAATAAACTGCCAATGCGTTGGCAAAGATGCGTCGATTGCATGGGTGATTACTTCGAATAACAGAAATAAAAAAGTTTGAAAAAATAAGTACTTTCACTTATTGCATACAAAACGGCAATTTCATAGGTAAAAACTTATTATTTTGCATTAGCTCTTATGGACCTTTCTAAGGGGTTTTGAAAAATTAATTAAATCGACAAATTCGTTATATTGAGGCTCGTTATATTAAGGTTACACTGTAAAAGGAACATTGCCGAGTCTTTTTTTAATTAAAGTATACCTTTTTATAAGTAAATATGTTTTTAATAAATGTTTATTGACACGGATGGTATTGTCCTAGCTCTATTTGCACATTAACACGGACTGTTTCACTATGAAATGTACCTTCATAATAGTCTCTGTCCGATGAACGCAAATGTTAAACAATATTTCCAATGTGTGATGTAATATTTACCAAAAGAATACAATTTTATTGTATAGGTACACATTTTACGTATATCCTCGGTTTTATCACACGGTAGACGTCATGTATAAATATATATATATATATAAGTACATAGGTTTATACATGTCATATATGTATAAACCTATGTATATATACCTAAACACTAATAAACTTTGTTCTTCAATGAATTATTACATGGGGCGTAGGAGTAGGTGCCCTTTTTAAAGGCCAATCAAAACTGGTATTACGTAGGATAAAAATAGTTTGTTACATTTTTGCAATTTAGTTCGTTTGAGTTAAAGTTTTAACTAAAATATCCAATATACTGTTTCTTTGCCGCCTGATTCAGCATTCAAGCTCCCGGACCGCGGTTAGTTATCTTGTGTCGCAACCAACTAAGTAGCCACTAATTTTTAAGTAGTAACTGATAAAGTTAAAGAGGTTTTTGTTGATTGTTATTCATTCAGTCATTCATTTTCGAGTGATAGAATACTTTTTATAATGACCAGTTTTCAGGTGAAACTGCTGGCAACGCCTATAGTTTATTTGCTGTTTAGGACATACTCGTATTCGTTTAAAAATATTGGTCGTAGACGTGAACCCAAGGATCAGCACAGCGTCATAGAAGATAATTTTAATGGTTTTGTAATCAATTTGCATATTTTTTTTCAATTTTAGATCCTCGTGTCAAAGACTGGCCGATGGCGTCTTCGCCGTGGCCTACACTGGCTGCTTGCTTATGTTTTGCGTACTTCTCGAAGGAATTAGGCCCACGACTAATGGCGAACCGCAAACCCTTCGAGCTACGAAACGTACTAGTCGTCTATAATCTTGCACAAACGTTATTCAGCGCGTGGATATTCTATGAGGTAAGCCAATGTTTACAAATCATGGTAACAACAAATTTAATGTTCTGAGTCTTGTCAATTCAGTTTAAGCGGAAGACAAATGTAAACTGAATTTCACCCAACTCATAGCGTGATATTGCTACAACAACACGTGCATAGCATTTAACTACTAAAAGAGAACGTAACACAAAATGGATTAAAGAAGTTCAACATATTAATCAGCTATTTTCGCAATGAAATATTGCTCAAACAATACAACACACATATTGGGACAGTGGTTAAATTCTAAGCATATGTCATAAATTCATAATACACATATAGCACACTCGGTAAATTCATATTAATATTATGAAGCTCTTTCACGCCCATGCTTGCACAACGTTTCAGTTTATGGTTCATGGTCAGTCGGTATGCAGCATAGGGTATGCTGCATACCTACTGCCCATGCTAAGTGATTCAACGCCGCATACCAGTATTGAAGATAATTTCACAATACGGTTTTCTAGGCTTACATCTATAAAAGTAGTTAAATATTTTTTAAAGACATCAAAAGATTTAATTCAGTTTAAAACAGTAAACAAAATAAATATCAAATCAATTACGTACTATTATCGGGTGAATAATATGCTCAAGTGCTTCAACAAGATTTACATAACATTAATAAGTATGAAACTACTTACTAATGTTATATTAAATCTTTAGTATTACCTGTTAACAATTATTTAAATTAATTGGGTAACATTATTACGTTCATGAATAAACATAATTGTCTTCCAGTAGACAAACATTTAGACTTCGGCCTTAGTATTGTATTTAGTTTTCATTTAAGATGTATTTGATAAAAACTCAGCCTGGTCAATAAACTTTTTTCCAAATCTCGTCACGCAACCATTACATATTAGTTCAAAAGTCGAAACCTAAAAATCGATGAAACTATATTTCTAAGCGGAGTCATTCTGAAAATACCAATGACCCCTCATTTGAATTTTTTAAATTATTTTAATTAAACAGGTTTATTTTGTTTTCACAGTACCTGATGAGCGGCTGGTGGGGTCATTACAACTTTACGTGCCAGCTAGTCGACTATTCGCGGAGTCCGATGGCTATGAGGGTAAAACATCCATCACATTTGATTTATAAGAGACTATCGGTCTTGTAATCAACAGTTAAGACTTTCGTAGCTAATAGAGTGGACTACCAACAAAGATAAAACGACACTACAAACTTTTGCCTAGTTGGCCGTTTAATAAAATTCAACATTTTAGTACTGTGCGACCCGCGTTCAAAGTAGTATTTTTATCGAGAATTTTTACCGGCCTTCACACTGGTGAAGGTGGGTCATTCGCATTTGTAACTGAACTTGGGTAACATGTGTATTACAGAACCAAACTTGTATCTGTACTAAAAGTTTACCAATCTTGTACATTTAATTTGTTTATGCGTTTGTAACTAAAAGGACCTACTTAAAAAAATTGTTTGTTTCATCTATTGAGTTACGTTAGACAGATTATTTTTTTAATAACTTTATTCTATTTGAAATTAATCCTATATTTATTCATTCAGTGTTCAATATAATTCGCATTAACTGGAGATAATAGTTAATTAATCTATTTAGAAACTCTTCTAACTCTTTACGTATTTTTTGGAGTCGATCGAGGCCGTTGCATTGCACAGTGTTTCTGAACGATAGAAAGTAATGAACAGGCACTAACGAAATATGACGTTCAAAACTTCTTAGATGATTATGTTTCATGAATAATTTATCAAATCATGGCATCTTTTACGAGCTTAAGTAATACGCATTTGAGTTTGTAAGATCATTAACTCCGGCCTTTGGAGGGGTATAAATGAAACTTAATCAAGAACCTCACAATAATATTTGTTTCACGTCACTGTAACTATTGAAGCTTTTTTCTTACCAGTGAGTGTTAAGATCACTAATAGTGTCAAGATACTTCATTAATTAAATACTTAATTCTAAAAATGACAATGACAAATTGTAACCATGAGTATCATTTTTACTAAAATCTATTTCCATTAGGCACAGCCAGAAAAAAAAACAATAAGAATTTATTGCCTTTTTAACCCCTACTTCTTAAATATTTAATACTTAATTGTACCTGCAATTTATATTGCCTCACAGCCTCGGATTCCATTACAAACTTTTCCAGGAACATTTAGATGTATGGATTTAGATTTAGGAGTATGTCTAGGTCATAGAGAGGTTAATCAAGTTTAAAATAAATTTATAATCTACAGCAACTTACTTCCTGTTACACATGTTTATTTTACATAATAAATTCATTAATTATTTGGTTCGATAGGCTGCGATGCCAGGTCATTTTATGGAGCTGAAAGCTTTACAGTTTATGTGCCTAAGAACGGTTTAGGTACTTATGACATTGACACGACGGGGCATAAAAGATTTAAAAGAAAGTATAATTTCTTCATAGTTTTTTTGCGTTTTTTGTGTTTTTATTTACTATGACAGCAAATTTACACTTATCCAGGTACTGGGAGATCTCTGTCCGTGTCGACGTCTATTCACCCCTACTTTTTGATATAATATTAATACTATAAATTAAAAAAAGTGCTACAGAATAGGCAATAGTACCAGTGCAAAACATCTAACAACAGACCACATGTTATACTGAAACCTGGTCCAAAATTTAGGAACATCAGAAAGGTTAAACTTTCGATAAACTTCAAGGTTGAAAGCGACTACAGATTACAGAGTAGAAGTGGATGAAATAAACCGTAAAGTTTGACCCACGGGCGAGACCTTTACGGGAGACGGAAAATACAGTACAATGGCAGAAGACAGCCCAGACCTAATCCCACAAAACTCGTAAACGATCTGGAATCGAACAAAGTACTCAAGAAACCGCAGCGGCTTGCAGAACACTTTTGACCATAAATAGTATATTACTATTTATTTTCATTTTTCATTACCGAAAGTGACGAGGAGAATATAGATTAGCTTGGTCAATAAGTAGCTAGAAAATCTGGCAACTTAAATGAATCTTTCAGTGAGCCATAAAGCACGTAACCGACTTAGGCCCGTATTTTGAAAGTTGTCTCAGTCGTGAATCTAGTCTTAAAACTAATTTTAAGTAGAGATTTTATTATTGAACGTCACTTAAAACGAGATTCAACACTCCATACTCAAGTGAGTGATAGCTTATTTTAGAACGATGTTTATTTCGAAATCATTACTCAGGTATAGATTTTGACAGCTGTGATCTTTGTTTACGTGAGACAAGCTGAAACTAGTCTCAAGCGGTGATTTCTAGGGCATTTAGGGGAAATTAATGTGTTTTACGATGATTTATTTTTGAATAATTACGAAAGATTTACTTTACTTTATTTAAGAAAGAATTACTTAGCATACTATAATCAATTTCACTTTCATTTACCTTAATTGATATGAAATTCACCAAAATTCACATTTTACACACACAAAACCAGTTTAAATTACCACAACCTTTTGGTTTATGTTAAAAGTATAGTAATATAAATTTTAGAAATATCAAATAAAAACATCGTTTGACATTTCAACATGACAAGTGTTGATAAATAACTTGAACGTTCCGTTATAGCCTATTCATACAGCTAGTCCTTTTTATTTTAATATTTATTATACTTAATTTTGAACGAACAACAAGCTTGTTAATATGTTTACATTGCTACGCTAGCCAATAGTATATTATATACAAATTCACAAAAAATATTTTTGTAAAAGAAAATTATTTTTTAAATAATTAGCTGCGTAATGCGGAATCATAGTGTTAAAACTGCGGAAACGTAATTGAGAACAGACTGTAAGTTCAAATCAATACTTGAAACTAGTTTCAACTGATTAAAACTTAAAACGCGTTCTATAATAAGATCGATACTTTAGATGATCTGCACTTAAAACTAGTTTCAGGCAATCAGAGTTCAACCGACACTTGAGACGTCTTTTAAAATACGGGCCTTAGTTTGTGCCAATGGAGCCTCTCACCGAGCATTCTATCAATAAACAGATCCTTCGTCTTTACGTGAAAAATAAATCTTTTGTTGTAAACATCCGAGGTGCGATAGTTTTTTTTTTATATATATATTAAGTGCAATAGTTTCCATGACTAAAATGCTTCAGAATCAATCAAGTTTGGCACCATCGCCTCGGTATAGGTCATACAAGTCAGTTAAGGTAGAAGGCTCCTCATGGAATAGCTCTCTGTTGGGATTAAGATAGTGAAGAGCCGGCCCGAGAAGTACTACCGATGTATGACACCGGGGCAAAGTGGCCCTAACTGTGCCATTTATTTCCACTGCATCGGGCTCTGCTTATCCCTTGGCCTTGCGTGTGCAGCAGAAAATTATCAACCTCATGTCGGGGCGAGAGATTATCTGAAATCAATCATCTTTGGTGATTAATTTAAAATCAGAGGACCGGTACCGCCCAACCTACCAGATGTTTAAAGTACACCCGCAGGTGCACTTATGTAAAAATTATTTTGTAACACATTCGAACAGTGTCAGTTTTATGTATGAATGTTGACTGATATGAGAATAGAGGACGACCAAAGAAAGATGGATGGAGTGCGTGAAAGAGGTTATGGCTACAAAGAGAGGAAACAGTGACCTGACGAGTGATAGAGGAGAACGAAAGAAGAAAACTCAATACGCCTATCCCAAATAAACTTGGTAATGATGATAGGAACAGCGTTGCATTCCTTGAGGAAATAAGCACTGCACTATACTTGCACTTGCACTTACTTATAAATGCATATATGTGTATATGTAAAAAAAAATATAAATATGTGTATCGTTAAATTTTGTCCGTGTAGTGACGACGGATTAAGAATGTCACTACCCCAATTCATCCCGCGGGTGTCGTAAGAGCCGACTAAGGGCGCAAAACAACGCAGGACTCTAGCATTACAAAAAGTAGGGAAACTTGACACAAACCCTATACCAACCCGTCTGGCCAGCGTGGAATAGAAGGTGGTATTTCTAAGGAGAGGCCTATGTCCAGCGGACTATTAAAGGCTGTTGATGTGATGTGAATGATGATCGGTTAAGTAGTTAAGTTTAAAACCGTAATAAATAAGTTACTTTTTCGCTTACAATCTTTGGTAGGACTTTTCTGTTATTTTATAAACATCTTCTGATGACTAATGTAAAAAGTATGAGTGTTAAAAAACTATATAAGCTATTCAAAAACACTAACTCACATTTCCTGTGTTGTGTGGAAGATGTAGGAAATATTAATTAATAAATTTAAATCGCCTAAGTACTTACTCGTAAATTAAAATTTTCAAGTTTAACATTACATAAAAACAAAAAATCATGTAGATTTACAATTATGATTTATTTATACATACCTATTCATATTGCCTTCCTTAAAAATAATTTCCTTTCCTTTAATTTATTATTCAAGATACTTGAAAGCTACAAAGTGTAAGCAATACGAAAACACTAACTCACATTTCCTGTGTTGTGTGTTAGATGTCGGAAATGTTAATTAATTAATTTAAATCGCCTAAGTACCTACTTACTCGTAAATTAAAATTTTCAAGTTTAACATTACATAAAAACAAAAAACATGTAGATTTACAATTATGATTTATTTATACATACCTATTCATATTTCCTTCCTTAAAAATAATTCTTTTCCTTTAATTTATTATTCAAGATACTTGAAAGCTACAAAGTGTGAGTTCAATATTACTTGGAATTGAGCTACTGGTTGTGGTGTCTTGTTAACCACTGTCCGTTCTTGTCTAAACTTTGAATCGGACGGTACCGCTCCCAAGTAAGAAGGGTACACCTCGCTAGTTTACAAGCAATGACAATTTCAACTTGAAATTTTTTCCCAGGACACCCTGTGCTATGGCGAAAATTGGTCTCAATTATTTTTTTACTTTGATACCGCATTGCAGTCAAAGCCAAAGTGCACCAAACTTATTTCATACAACAAATGTAATCATGAATGAATAATAATAAAATACATGACGCCTAAGGCCAACTAAAATGTGTACTACAAATATGTACTGAATTTAATAGTTATTTTGCAACTTCTTCAACCAAATCTATTAAAATACTAAGGTTATAGTTGCCGCCATAATTAGACATACATCATGTTATGTATAGGTAATAATATAATGTCAACAATCGTTTTGTGAACGTTATGCTAAAGACGTAAGAAGGACACTATTCATTAGTAATCCCTGAAGCTATATTTGTCGAAACATTAAAATGTGTAAAATAACACCTATTAATGTACAAAGTACGCAGTATTATGTGACTAGCGTTACTTTTGGTCCTTGACACGCCATTGAGTGTAAATACGGTGCTTCCTTTACATTTATGTCTAATGTGTAAATAATTTTTTTTAAATATATTTATTTTTAGAGAACTGTCTCTGTAGACAAGTACAAACATTAAATTATTTCTATACTCCTTTCCACTAATATTTTATCTTCTCTTGATCTTCCATTTCTTTGCTGAAGTTAAAAGTGACATGTAATGATGATATTCCGCTACTATGACAGGGCAGGATAAAGTGCAATGATTTCCGCAAAATGTCTACACAATTGCAGATTTTTAGCTTTAGCCTTTGTAGTATCTGTTTTGTTTATTAGTATTTACTGTAGAACCATACGCCTTAATAGAACATATTACATAAATATATTTTATTTCGTAAAATAAAACAATTAAGGTTTTCGCTGACCCTCGGTGTTTAAACGTATCTACGTCTTATATAGTGAAAACCATCTGTATCCAATTCCATAATAATCTTAATAACAGATATTCATGTTCACTAGCTATGTATGTCACGTATCAGTTACTAAATCCACCTACACCTCATGCCCAAAAACAAACAACCTTGTTGTTTTGTTTTTAAAGATACACTACATATATGGATATTATCAACTGAGTTTCCTTAGTTTAGCGGGTGGCTATTTTATAGTTTTTAACACGCTTTTGTGTATGTATCTATGTATCAACGGAATCTTCAAACGTATTTTTTTTTTCAAAACGTCGAACGTGCTCTCATTTTTTTAAATATAGCCGATTGTCGATCAATCGAAATTCATCTATTGTTTTTTTAGTATTAATGAGAAATTAATCATCATTAATGACTGGACAAACAAGAATAAATTATTATTAAAAAAAAAAGATAAAATCATTCTAATACCTAATCATTAAATCTATGCTAAAGAGCGCAAACAGTAAACTTCTGCTAATAATTTTCGATTGCTGCCAATTCCAGGTGACGTTATAACATTCGGTCGAGATTATAATGTTACTTTAATATCTTTGAAGACCCAATATACCTACTACATATGTTTCTATCGTTCAGATCACAGACGCCTAGACGCACACATAGAGGATAAATAATATTTTACACACATAAAAATGTTTACGGTCATTCGTCCCAGGGGATTTATTGATTGTAAATCCTTAACGTCACTTATATAGTGACTAAATACAACCTTAAAACCCTCAAAATAAGGTAGCGTTTCACCCGACCAACAATATTCTAGAGGCGGTTCGGTAAGACACCGTAGTGATGTAGTATTTTGGCAATTTATCGAAAAAAACACGAGAATAATTTTAATTTAATTATTTATTTGGCTGATACTCTGAAGTCGCATACTACCATTCATGATCATTTTATTGTAAAATAAAACTACTCTTGAATACAAAATAAGTTGTATATTCAATAACTATAAAACAGAATAAAATAATGTGATGGAATAATAATGTATTTGGATAAATTTATTTGTATTTAATATTAACCAACCCGTGTGGCCAACGTGCTGTATTAGGCCAAAACCTCCTTTCTAAGGAGAGGCCTGTGTCCAGCAGTGGACTGTTAAAGGCTGGTGATGTGATGTGACAGTATAATTGCCGTTTTGTGTCTTTTTGCACATAATTTTTTTAATTAAAATGCATTTGTATATTTATGTATTTTTCAATAAGGCATTTTATTAAGTCGGATAAATGATTTGATGATGGGTATTCCGATTTGATGAAAGCTTATTTCATTAAATATGTTACTACCTACTAACTGACGTAAGACTCGCAGAAGTAGGTATCCGATTTTCATTTACTCCCCTTAGTTAGTCATTTCATTTTTCGTTAAAACTAATGCTATGATCAAGAATGTCTCCAAAACAAGGTCATTAAAATTAAAACAAGATTGACGACACCAGTGTCGGAACCAAATCAGAACTGTGACTGTACTAAATACTTTCGTGCAAAATGTATCTAAATATACCTGTTGAAATGCAAATGCCTGAAATGCAGTTTAATGCGTGCTCTCGTGGTCACAATGTGGTGAGTATTCAAATTTGATACGCAATGTATGATTGCTTTAATAGATTAGATCATAACAGTTTTCTATCTTGTATTACATAATACTTTGTAATTTGTTGTCAATATCAATTAAAAGCAAAAGTTTTAGAACTACCGATAATATGACATGTTGCCTTTGGATAAAGTCCAGTCCTGGATTTGTTTTCGACACGCAATTATCGCACAACTCGGAATAGCGATATTTTAAAGTAATACGCGAGTACGAATGTTTTCAGAGATTTATACACGTTTGCACGTAACTCCGGTGCGCCTGCCCCACCTACATCGCATTTCTAGTTTATTCACTGTTCTGTGGTTCAAACCAATACAGTCACTGACGTTCTTTAAAGATTATAAACGATCTAATGGTCATTGAAAAGATGAAAATACTTTCAAAAAAAGGAATTAAAACAGTCTACGCCATTTACTGGCTATGATGTCGTAGACACAGATAATATTTAGACGTTGTTGATAACCACATAACACACTTCTGAACTCTTAACAAGGTCTGCTAAGTCTGGTCCGGATACTCTTGCTATAAAATTGTTTTGGATTTGAGATACTTAATTATATAAATATAGAAAAACAATGCTTGACTTCGAATAGGTGATCAATCGATCAATTGTGTGAAATAAAGATGAATTTAAATTGAGATTACTAAAAAAATACAAACATGCGTAACATACACATCATAAATTCTTTTGAAATTCAATTATCTAACTTTAATAATGATAATTCTATACTTTATAATATTTTAGTGAGGGTGTTATTTTTAATGTGATTTAAATGTGTTCCTTCAGAAGTTATAAAAATCTGCTACAATGTTATTGATGTGTAAAGTAGAATTAAGTGTTTAACTTGTCTTTCTTTTAAACAGATGGCGAATACGTGTTGGTGGTATTACTTCAGCAAGTTTACGGAATTCGCGGACACGCTTTTCTTCGTGCTGCGTAAGAAAAACGAGCACGTGTCTAACCTCCACGTTATACACCACGGGATAATGCCTATGTCGGTTTGGTTTGGACTTAAATTTGCACCAGGTTAGTAAACGAAACTCCTTATCCCCATAATGAAAATAACTTTATAATACTAGGCTCTTGACCCAGGGTACACCTGGTTGCCCGGCTACTGGTACCCGAGACGGCGCGGCGGCGTGGCGTTTTTAATGTTCTACTTTAAATCTAATTAACCTTTCTCATCATTGACTTGCTTTTTTTTTTTTTTTAAACAGGATATTGAACCCGAAACTTAACAGCTGTTATAAAAATCTATATTTTTTTCTTTACTGTTTCAATATCGTTTTAGAAGTCTCAAAACATAACGTAAACTTAAACTTTCTTAATCTTAAAACTGTAATTTTTTACTGTAGTCTGTTCAAAGATTATTATTTAACCTCGAAACATACATAAAGTAAGTGACAAAATGCAATCGTTTTTAAAAGCTATGAATTGAAGTTATCACTGCGTTTTTACCAATTTAGGGAAATCACCAAACGTTATTGACCTATTCTATCGAGGAAAGCCAGTTTTATTTATCCAAATGTCATGTGAACTCAGGTTTTGCTGAATCAAATTTAGTCTCCTTTCACGAATCGTAGAAACTACACTAAGTTATATTTGCCGCCTTTAAAGTGCCCAACGGCCTTAACAATATTTAATCAGTTCAACAAAGGACATCCTAAATATACAAATAGTGGCTTTAATGTTTGTTTATATTATCATTATATTATAGTACGGAGCTTACGCACACACACTCTATATAGTAATATAAGACAACATATGAATGAATCGGTGTCAATGTGTTTTTTGAAAGTCAAAATATCTTTATTTCATAAAAATAATAATTGAAATCGTCTTTTATTTAGACCAAAAATAAAGATCAACACATAAATCTGTTTTGTAAAATATTTAACAAAATAAAGTCTATCCATTATATGCTTGTGCCGATTTACGACTGCCCGTTTCCAAGTGGTTGAGCTTTATGAGAAGAAAGGGCAAACAAACTTTAAAGAAATCGTTTTTAAATAGTGTGTCACATATTATGTAAGAAATATTGCACCCATCCATCATAATACACGTTTCTTGGTCTCATATTCTTATTGTAACATTTTCAATATTTGCCTCACTTATTATCGTCTGATCAGTTTAGGCTAGGTAGGTGTTTTTCCACAAAACATCTCTCGACATCCGCAAACAAATTTGATAAAAATACTGTTTGTTTAGTAATTTATAGTTTTATTTTTTATTATTGACTATTTAGCCTTTTTATGATGTATCCGGTATCGATTATAAAATATATATATGGCGTTTAAAACATCATTTTACTAGTTATCAACCTTGCCCTTCTATTGGGCAGTTACACTCAGGGACGGGTTTAAAAGCAAATAATAAAAGAAGGAAATGATTGTATTCACAAATTGTATTGAACAGGTTAAACATTGTGGAGGTCAATTGCGGCACTTCGTTATTTGCCTCAGCAATAACTGAAAATAATATTACCATACCAGAATACCACCATCTCTGGCTTGTTCTTTGAAAGACTTACAACAGCCAATGGATATTTTGAACAGATGTTCTTATGTGCATGTAAAACCTCGGACGGTCTGTATATTTGTCAGGTCGCTAAGTAAGGTTATTCTAAAGTAAATATACATACATACACTATTATTAAGGTGGCCGTAATTAACAATAACATACGTCATTGATCATTTGATGTAAATAAAAGAAACTTATTTATATATTTACACACGTACACAAACTGTTGATTTTATGAAGGTTATTTAACTTGATTGATCTTCTTGTTTATTTACGATATTTTTTTTTATTATTTACTAATAAACATAAAATATATGTACATAGGTGCTAGAATGTTCCATAACGACTTCCTGAGTGCCAACGGAATCCAAACATAAATAATGTCAATGATGTATCTAATTTTAAACTTGATCAGTGTATGATCGAGTGCTTAGGTGAAAAGCTTTAAAATCTGAAACTAGTTAGTATGTTAGTTATGTCGATGTCGTTGTAAAATAATATATGTAATATAATAATTTAATTTATGTCTAATTTAGATACACATCGTGTGTCTACATTTTTGTTGTGCAAATACAAGTATTTTATTATATTATATTATTAATATTATCACGTAGCATGCACCATTTTATTATAACATTGTGTATAGTAAAAAGTGGATAATGCTGTTATTAGTACAATTAGCACATTTTTACCTAAAAGTAGTATTAATTATTATTGAATATTGTACTATTGTTGGTTATCCCTAATAAATAAATAAATAAATAGATACTTATATTATTATCAGAGACTGGTGCAAAGTGTTGTACCGTACGTTCAAGAATATTGTGCTGATGGTATTCGTATGTTTTAACACACATTTAATATTTCAGTGAAATTTCAATAGTATTTGCACATAATATTCACTAATGTGGAGTAATGCTATCCTTTTTAGTAATAGCCGTAATGAGCTCTACCACGCTAAACACTGCATGTAGGTATATACATATGTAGGAAATAACCAAAGGGAGCGTCGTTGTGTCCCGTTAAAGACAGGAGGAAGCCAAGACTGTATATATATTTTGATACAGGGTTACTGGGTAAGTGGACCTAGATATGGATTGTAGTTGGCATCATTTCTGATAGATTACACTATGATATACCATATCCACTACAACTACAATCCCTTAAAGTATCTAGGTCGACTTACCCAGTAACCCTGTATCCAAATATATATACAGTCTTGCCTTCCTCCTGTCTTTAATGGGACGCAACACCGCTCCCATATATTGTTTACCTATATAATAGGCCTTTACCTATGAAATTGCCGTTTTGTATGCAATAAATAGGCCAAAACCTCCTTTCTAAGGAGAGGCCTATGTCCAGCAGTGGACTAGCATAGGCTGTTGATGTGATGTGATGATGATGCAATAAGTGAAAGTACTTATTTTTTCAAACTTTTTTATTTCTGTTATTCGAAGTAATCACCCATGCAATCGACGCATCATTGGCAGTTGATTGGCACATAATATTTATAACACAGTAACAGGGTTTCCTTCGTCACTTTTCGGCCTGAACGGCTGCGATATTCTCTTCACTACGGGCATTTCTTTGTCTCACAGGCACAGCAATATTGTGGAGAGTGAATTCACTTTCAAATGTTGTTATTATGCGATTTATAGCGCGCACAGAAGGAGCACTATGACGACCGTTTTTTGCGCGAAGCGCTCTTACTATAGCGGTAGGAGAACGCGAATTTGCGTAATAATTTTGGACAATTTCCAAGCGTTGGTTTAAACTGAAACGTGGCATGATAAAATGGCAAACCTTACTGAACACAAATGTCAAGAGACGTCAAATCCATCATCAAACATGGCCGCTATGAGCTGTCAAAACCAGGTCATCCCTAGTATATAAATATATATATATGTACATACATATATATGTATATATATATATATATATATATATATATATATATATATATATGTGTACATACATATATATATATATATATATATATATAGGTAATACATATAGGTAAATAAATCCACCTAAAAAAGTATTTACAAAATTACAAAACATTTAAAATATACTGCAAGAATAATAAAATATAAATACCAATTATTTCGTATTAGGACACCTCAAAAATAGTGTAATAATTATATTACACTATTTTTTTTAATGTCTAAGCAAACGTTAATGGGCGTGTTACTTTTTACGTTTAAATATTTAACATGCATGATATATTATGTAGGTAACTTTTGCTTTAGAATGTCTCAACAATATATTGGATTGGAAAACCGTTTTACCAAAATAACTACTGATCCAGACAGCTGTTAATTAATCGCTTTAATACACCTTTTATCGAAAATAAATCTACATAGATATGTTGCCAATTTCATTAAGAAAATGATTATTCATTGATTCAAGACCATTGGGATAATAAGCGCTCCACCGCTATGCGCTTTTCATGAAACTTTTTGGCTCGTACAGCCAATGTGTGAAACAGACTGGAAGCCTCAAAAGCTCGCAACGCAGTTGTGGCTAGCTATTTGCAAGTGTCCTTAGGCAGGGTTAGTCATTATCAATAGGTGAACCGACTGCTCGTCTTTTGTTTTTGAACGAAATGAACTCTTAAGATTTGGCCATAATTTGTTAAACTTTCGCTGAACAATAAAGGATATCACAAACACAAATACACACACAGGTAAACAAACAAATAAAAACTAATACTACAACTATTGAGATATGTTCATTCCCTGTTAATTATTGCATCCACAGATGTAGTTGTATATTTCTAAAATCTTATATATTTTGTTCCGTTACTGCAATAAATTCTAGATACTATATCATTAAAACTTGCATTGTATTGAGCAGTAAATAAATAAATGTGTAAATATATTTTTGTAGCAAATTAGCCAATATAAATAAAAATGGCGTAATCTTTGTGAATTCGCTTCAATTCACGTAACTTTGATAATGTATTGCACTTAACTTTGAGCAATTTCCTGTTATTAGAATCGCGACTTGTCACGTGGTCGTTTACAGAATAGCATGAAAATTATACTAAGAAATGGGCATATTAGTACATGGCAAAGCTCCTAACTGTCTGAAAAGAGTACTCTATTAGTAGGAGTACTATCAAATAAAATCTGCGGAGCAGAAACCCTTAATGAGTGTTTGTCTATTAATAGGCTTTGATGGCCGGTAGTAGCAGTATTAAAAACAAACCTTAAATGCCTTAATGGAATGCGGGTCATCAATAATTGTGTTTAAATGTTAAATCTGAAGGTAATTTTCGCGTTTATAGAGATATAGCATTTAACCGTAGAGTACATAAGCACTAAATAAGAGCAGATGTGAAAACATGAAAAATCTAAACCGTCTCCCCGCTATTTAAATGTTTTTTTTCATTTATAACACAAGAAATGAAACCCAATATAATTTTTTTATTAGTATGTATCGAAATTATCATTCTGAATATTTTCATTAGCACAAAAAAGTTCACCCCTAGCTAATTTTTTTTTTGTAAGAAACACTTTAAAATAATTTATCAAATCTTTCGTGATTTTTGTGGACACAAACAGTCGAAAGTTAAATTTTTATTTATGTATTATATCACAAATCTTATAATGAATGAATGCATAAATATAACCTTAACGAACTGCTTCAATTGTCAATTTTCACTACTTTACTCTTTGTTTATTAATTACTTATACAAACCATATTATATACTGGTACTTAATTAACTTGTTACATGTCTCAACCAGGTGGTCATAGCACGTTCTTCGCGCTACTTAACACTTTTGTGCACATCGTGATGTACTTCTACTACATGGTATCTGCAATGGGCCCCAAATATCAAAAGTACATTTGGTGGAAGAAATATCTTACAGCTTTCCAGATGGTAAGTATTGATACAATAATAAAAATCCTTTTGCAAGAAGTTGAACCGACTTCAAACAATACTAACCAAACCAAAATAATATAACCAAACCATATAACCAAAATAATAAAACCAAAGACCAACCAAATGCACTGCTGCAATGAGACAGCAAGGTTTCGTAAGTAAAAAAAAAATCTTTTGTAAGAAAAAAAATTTTTTGTTGATTTTAATAAAATTTAAATGGGACCACCTTAGCAGTTATACCCTTTATAACAAAAAATAATTTTCCAAATCGGTTCAGGGTTCAGGCGAGTAATCGGTGAATATACATAAAAAAAATATTCCGACGAATTGAGTATCTCCTCCTTTTTTGAAGTCGGTTAAAAATAAACATCCTTATTCAATATCATGAATGGATGAATTTAATGATCTTAGTAAGTCGTAAGTCGCAAATTAGCAACCGTAAACTAGACAAACCTAGTTAGATTTATATAGTAAAAGTACCTTCATATACTATATTATCATATTGTAATCTCAATGCGGTAAGTTAAAAACTTAAATGAAGCTGTAAATTAGTTGATTTTTAGCTGGCTCTATTGGATTTTTTGATTTTTTATAAAACTTTAATCTACATTTATTTTTTATGAAAATGCAATAAAATAGAATATTAAGTTCTAGTGTTTATTTTTTAAATATTTACGTATTTTGGAATTCTAAAGACTATCTATATATTAAACATAATATCATTAGAATTTACCAACAATTTCTGACGATATCGCATACACATAAAAGCACAGATGAATTAAGAATATTTTCTTATTCCAATTATTTTTCAAGCGATATCATACATCCTTTTGATATATAAAAGCAGTATTAATTAAAAAACAACAATTGAAATAAATATTCTTGCCCATAGGTTCAGTTCGTGCTTATCTTCACCCACCAGCTGCAAGTATTATTCCGTCCGTCGTGCGAGTATCCCCGCGTCTTCGTCTACTGGATTGCGATGCACGGATTCTTATTCCTCTTCCTATTCAGCGATTTCTACAAGGCTAGGTACTCAAAGTCCAAGGGAAAGGCCCTGAAGAATGGACTTTGTATGGTAAGTGATACAGAACTACCATTAGGTGTACAGGAAAATCTAACAAATATGACATTAAAGTGAATTAACACGTCTATACGTTATAGCAGATAAGTGTTATACTTAATTCCTGCACTCTGTCCTACAAAAACACCTGATGTACTGGCTGAGGAAGTACGTGTGCTTTACAAAAACGCTTTTAACCTAGTACTATTTCTCGTTATGCTTTTTTAAGCAATTGCGTAGTGGGGGAGTCCCAATTAGGACCAGTTTAGTAAAAGAGCGATTAATACACTTGTATATTATTATGTACAGTTCTCGAATGGAAATTATCATAACAGTCACTTATTAGTTGATTAATTTTTAGCGATCCATCATGATTTATTTCTCACACTTGTGATTCTATCTATACTCGTACTATAGACGATTTTGTACATCAAATCCATATTCGAATGAAATTGGCAAGGATGTTATTTATTTAACATTATTATTATATCATCATGTTAACGACTATCACAGTCTGTAATGTTAAGCGAATAAATTTGTACGGGTGATCATCGATATATTAAAATAATGAATGTGCAAGTATTATCAAAATATTTATTTTTCTAATATTTAATATTCTGCTTTAGTCGGCCATTGTTATAAGTGTACATTAAAAAAATATATAAACATCAATATATTTAATATTCGCACATCTTTGTACATTAAGAGTACCACGTTTTAGCAAAAACACCAACGATTACAGCATCAGTACTATTTGTTTAGCACTTAGGTGTCGTACCGTGATCTTTGGAATGTTCTACTCAACGACGTCTGAAGTTCACGAGAACATTGACACACGCGGCTCGGGCCCGTGATAATGTTTGTGCTAGTTGATTATGCTAATTTTGTTTGTCGACTACTGTGCTCCCAGGTTCCCAGGACCAGGACATACTTTCTTTTTTATGATAGAACTTAAATATATACTTGTGGGACATATATATATATATGTGAGGTCTTGTATAGTCACAAGGAACGGCTGTTATTTTGTGCCTATAGCAAAATTTTGCCGTATAAAGGATTCTCTGAAGCTACCAATATTTAGGACACCATTGAAGGCGAAAAAGATTAAGTAATGTTAATACCGAGTAATGGTTTCAGACGGTTATGGACGACAGCAGCACCGCTCTAAACGGCAAGAACGGCTACAAGCAAGAGGTGGACTCCGAGGTGCCCAACTCGTACGCGTCGTCAGGAGCCGATGCGTTTGTGCGTAGGCGGCCAGTTTCATAGTGGCCGGCACCCTCGCCCAGTGCACGCAACTGTATTATAACGTTTCAAAGACCATCTCGAACTTCCGTGTTAGTGTCCATCCGATGTGACCCGAGTGAGAAACTGTGCAAGAGCTGGCAGAACTAGCTCACCTGCACCGGAACGATTGTTGCCTCGACAATGTTTCAGACTATATTTCTATGATGAACTTTAATGATAAACCTTGTTACTCCTTACTATAAAGTTTGTTACTGCACAAAGTCACTATTTTTGATCTTGCTTGGATCGTCTAATTGCCTTGTAATTTTATTTTTAATTTCAAAGTATAGGTATTGAAGATATTCTATATATTGTTGAAAATTAGTTTCGGTTGATGTGAAATCTAGTCGCGTTTTGGCGATTCATGTTAATCTTTATATACTGAAGCAAAAGTTTGTTAATGCAATAAACTCTGACTGCGTTAGGTCACGTTGGTTGTGACATTGGAAATGATGGTACATTCATGATAGGCGAAAGTGAGATGGGCATTTTTGTATTATGTATATACTTTAATATTATTTTAAAGTTAATATAGTTATGGTACCATGTGTAACTAGGTGTATTAAAGGTTAACGGATTTTTGTAAATATATTTTTATTGTTAGACGCTAAATATAGTATAATTATGTTACCATACTATTTTTAGGTATCCAGTGTGGTTTTACTAACAGCGTTTCTGTTTCTCTCATGTGCTCAAGTATTCCATCATTACTTCCACGTGTAACTTTACAATATATTGTTGATGAATGTGAATATCAACAAATTATATGTAAATTGTGGCTATGCACAATGCATTTTTGTATATTTTAAAAGTTTTTACTTCTCGTTTCGTTTCGGTACAAGACTGTGCGCACTAAGGTGCATAAAGTTTCTAGATGTTTTCGCCCCAAGGAAACGAGCATTTTACTGTAGAATATAATATAAATGAAACACGTGTGAGTTTAAATGTTCAAGGTAATAAATAGCAGTTTTACAACATAGCCTATTAAGTAAATAGCGAGTATGCACAGTCTCCAACCGCGCCGAGTCATCGCCGTTAAGTTTAAGTATTATTTTGTACCATGTTCAAGTGTTTGGTATCACGTTCTGGTGTTACGATGCTTTAAGTGTTGTGCAATGTGGAGTGCCAGTTGCTTAGATCGCAGGCGGGCTCGCCCGCGAGATACAACAGACCTGCTCAAGTAATTACTGCGAATACACTCATTTGCAACTTTATTTATTATGTTAATAAAGGATTTTACAATAGATTTTGGTTCGTTTAATTTTTGCCCAATTTAATCAGTATAAGAACTCAAATTTGTTAATCTTCTGACCTGAATCTATTTAAAAATAGCAGGGAACAGTAGCGAGTTACTAGTGGATTAAACTATAGACTTACTTCTATATATTATCAATTAAGCATATAGTGATAACATAATTACAATAAGTAATTACAGCAAGCTCAATAATTACCTGACATTGTTTTAAAAATGTTTAATAAATCAAACTAACAAGAAGTATTTGTAATTCAGAAAATGTATTTAGAGAGAACAGTGAATAGAGAGGTGCAGTGGTAACGTATGCGACTACTGTGCTGAGGTCTAGGGTTCGATTCCCGGATCGGATGAAATGTTTGTATGATCTGCAATTCATAATGTTTAGCCTCATAAGCGCTTGTAACGTATCTAGTAATACTTTAATATCATCGTAAGATGACAATATTGTTATCATCCTGAGACGTCTTACGACTAACACTAAGGAAATTCTAACATCAAATGTAAATACTTAGGTGATTTAAAGTATTAAAGTGCATACCCAACGATTGAGTAACAAGGGTACAGACTTCGAATCTACTTAGTACAGTGAAGTAGATAGGAGGTACTATGAAGGACGCACATACAGCAATAAGTTCTAATATTACCATGGCGCAAAGGTACCATTTGCGAGCAACGATAATATCAGCATAATAACATTATTTGTAAATGATTGGTCTATTGGGAAATCTAAAGACACTTACACAAAAGTTGCCATTTACCCAGGCGTAGACGTCCTTGGACGTCATAATATAGGCACCCATATCTTTAGTAGGTATTTTACATGTATTTTACTTAGGCTCTTTGTATTAGGTCTTTACCTATGAAATTGCCGTTTTGTATGCAATAAGTGAAAGTACTTATTTTTTCAAACTTTTTTATTTCTGTTATTCGAAGTAAACACCCATGCAATCGACGCCAGTCAGTCGCCTAGTCGGTAGGTGCAAGGTCTGACAATTAGGAGACGTTATAACTACTCCTATACGGATATACTACTATACGGATTCTACTCTTGAAGAGTATACTGGGAGTCCCACACACGCCCTGCGTTTCCCCAACGGAGAATATAGTGCGAAAAGCATTCCCCGCGTTAAAAAAAAAAGGAAAAAGGTGGTTTTACACGTAAAAGCTATGTAATCATAAAACTTTACTGATAATAAAACGTGTAGTGACGAATTAAGAATACAGAGTGTCACCACCCCTAACCATCATCCCAAGGGTGTCGTAAGAGCCCACTAAGGAAGCAAACTACGCAGGACAACAGCACTGCAAAGAGAAGGAAAACTTGAAACAAACCCGTCTGGCCAGCGTTCTCCGGACCGGACGGGATCCCTGCCCGAGTGCTGGCCTTGACCTGGCTGGCTGGTTGGGCCTCAACCACATGTCAGACCGCCTCGGGGAGTTGTTTGATGCTAATTTGTCAGCCGGACGCTTCCCTGAGTGCTAGAAGAGCGGGAAGTTGGTTTTGAGAAAGCCGGGACGGCCTGCCGATTCGGTCGAGGCCCTACGGGCGCATCGTGCTACTGAACGAGACGGGTAAATTGTTTGAGAGGCATCGTCCGCTCTGCCCGCATCGCCTGGCACTTACGCGAGGTCTGCCCCCATTTTGGCTTCCGAGTCGGGCGTTCGACTGTCGGTGCTGTGTTGTGAATGCCGTGACCTAAGAGGCGGCGAGCTGTAGCGGCGTGCTGTTGGCGGTGTCATGTACGAGGACCTAGATGGTGTTTTGAGGAGTCGGCCTATGTCGACGAACCGGGCGGCGGAGGCCCAACCTGGCGGCATGAGTGGCCGCGGGTGGATGGGACGAGTTTTCCACTCTACCCGCCATAAGTGTTCCGGACGTCGCCTAAATAGAAAATGTATCCGGATGTCTTAATAACAGCAGTTCCCGGATCCCTCCTATTACAGGCGCATAGTCGCACACCGCGTGATTTTAGTCGGTCCGATTCCGACACACCACCCCGCCGCAAATCCCGGTGGGGTGACTCCCCGAGGGAGCTTCCACACGTGAAAAAAGAAAAAAAGGGCATGTTTAAGGTTACTTTGGTGGCGATTAATTTTGGAGGAATAATACATTTTTTTAAAGGCACTCCCATACTAGGAATATATCTTGAGACACAAAGAACAACCAGCGTCAGAACAACAATTTATGGATTACACAAAGGGTTGTCCCATGTTGATATCGAACCTACAATATGTTAATATATTTAAGGCTACTTTGGGCGACCAACACTGGAGTAATAATACATAATTTTTATCGTATGAGTTATTAATGCTAACGTAATATAGATCTATATGTACCTATAATCGGATTAGGCAGTCGCGACTAAGTCCATTTTACCTGTACCTATTCGTTAATTATTTCACTTAATTATATTATGTAAAGTCTACTCGACAAGAGGATGATAACCTACTAGTATGGAAATGTGTGTTTTTGCTGTGACGTTTATTGTGTACATTCTGACCGAATCCATGGAGATGCTAATTTCTATCGTCAATCCACCAATCGAAGGCAAGAGTGGAATGAACAACGCATTAACGCCGTCAATAAATTAAGTATGTCAACATTAGCAGCTCACATTTGCTATGTATGTAGTTAGGTATTTAATATCTTTTCTGTGATTTTACATTGCATATTTATTGAGTTGTTTAAATATTCAAATGTACCTACTTAGAAAACTAAACTAGAAAACTATAAATATAAAGGACCACATGATCAAAAACTAATCAGATATCAAACAATAAACTATTGAGATGCAATAGTTTAGTTTTTTCTAGCTGTCACGTAATCTTTCAATAGGTGTTAAGAGCATTAAGTAAAAACTATGGTCCCTTAAGACAGCAGGTTTAACCGTATGACACGTTTATTCTTTGAACTGTACAGATCAAGCAGGTAACCGTCAGTTGACAGAGACTAACAACTACTGGGTAACAAAATTATAAGACCAGAGGGACTGAGAGTTAAAAAACAGCCTTACAGTATTATTGACAAATCTGATGTCAAAACTCTCATTCTATTTTACAACATATCCTTTCTTTACCAAGCACATACAACATCCTAACTTCTGTTCTATTCTATATTATTAACGCGAAAGTTACTTTGTATGTCTGTTACAAAGCCTCTGAAACAAATTTTATGATTTTTAGTAGAATAGAGCTACAAGGAACTTTGAAGAAGATCATAGGATATTTTTTGTGGAAAAGTATTCATTTTATCATATCATTTCAAAGTTTCGAGATTCAAAAATTCAATATTTCATTAAAATATAAGTAGACTACTAGAAGTACTAATAAATTGGACTCGGAAGGATGCCACGATTACCAGTTAAATTTATAGTGTTGAAAACTATTCTACAGGAGATGGTTCTAAGTACTCAGTTGAGTTTTTTTTTATAGTATAGGGCCAACGGGTCACCTGATGGTAAGTGACTGCCGTCGCCCATGGATTTGCAGGATGGAGTTGCAGGTGGTAACCTTGTAACTCAATACACACAAGTGCGGTGCCGCCCTTTGAATCCTCCCCTCAAAATTAAAGGGAAAAGTTGGGCCTCCGGTAATTTCTCTCACTCACTCGTTGAAAAACAACGAAACAATTGCTTTTTTTAACCGACTTCAAAAAGGAAGACGCAATCAATTCGGATGTTTATATTTGTATGTTTGTTCGGGCATAACTCCATCATGTGTAAACGGA